CGGTTCAGCTGGATCAGCCCCACGTTGTGGGCCTTCCCTTTCTTTTCTGTAATGATGTACTTGAACTCGGCACCTGGGGCAAGCAGGGAAAAGGGTCTTTCATTCATGCAGGCATCGAACTGAGGGCTATACCCCCATCAGTGGACAGAGTGACCCCGACAGACCCCTGCCCAATCCTTGGTGGCAGCAGCACGCAGCTCTCAGCCACATGGGTGGCATCTGTCTCACTGTCTTCGCAGATGTTTGAACATTTCCTTAAGTTAAATAAAAACAACCCAGCAATGAACAGCAGCCCACAGCAGCCTTCCTGCTCCTGAATACCGGGGGCAGCGCTTCCCGGAGCACGCACCAGGTGGCCTGTGATTCTGCAGAATCAGGGGATGGGGAAATCCATTCTCCAATCAATGCCATCGAGGTGAGGGGAACTGAGAACAGGACAGGCTGGCTGGACAGGCTGGTGGGTGGCACAACCAGGCAAAGGGTGACTTGAACACCCCAGAAGGGCAGCCGGCTCAGACTGGGGGGTCAGTAATGACCTGGAGAGGAAGAGGGTTAGTCTAAGAAGACAGAGTCTCTCTGCACGCTGGGGCGCCTGCTTTCTGGAACGGGAAGACAGGGTTCCATCACCTGTCCCGTGGGCTTGTCAGGGAGAAACTGAAATAACACATATAAGGTGTCCAGTAGCCACATGCCTGTCACATAGACCAAGAAATGATTGCTGATCACAGGCCAGCATGCAGAAGGGGAGGGTCAAAGAGGACTTAGGGTAAACCCAGCACGACTTGGTCTGTGTTTTGGTAGTTAACCCGATATACGGTGAAGGAGGAGGCCCCGCAGCTCCGCCACGTGGCCGGCGCCCTCCGGACACCGGAGCGCTGAGGCTGCAGGCGAGCAGAGGCGGCGCGGCGGCTGGCCGAGGGAGAAGCAGTGGACACGGGCAGGCCTGGACAGGAAGCGCAGCAGGACATGACGAGCGACTCCAACTCCAGAGGCCTGTCAGTCCGCTTAGCCCCGTGAACCCAGTGGAATCGCAACAAGAGACACCGAACGGCAAGTCCTAGCACTCAGTCCCCAGTGCCCCGCTGAGGGGACACTGCAGCGGCGGGCGGGGCTCCCGCCCGGGGCCCACGCCCCTGGGCGCCGCACTCACCTGAGGCGAACGGGCGCAGCGCCGCGCAGCCGGGCCGGGGGCGCAGCAGGCCG